TGATTGCAATATACCTACATGATTACTTGATGCAATATCTGCAATCACTAACTGGACAATATCAGGTAAAATCTTCACTGTCAGATATCGAATACAATTGGCTGATGTAGTGGATAAAATTAGATGAGACACACAGTATTTTTACTTGACAGTAATATAGTGATGTCATGTATCGAATTACTAATCTTTGTATATTCAGCCAGTGCCATGAAAAAAATTTGTAAAGAGCACTCAGAACATTGTTACTCTCACGCAAAACTTATTTAATTATTATAATTGATGTAGCAAAATAAATACCGCATAAGAATTACAGCGCAATGAATGATAGATACAATTTTTAGTACTTGCATCTCAATTTAACGTAAGTTTTCCAATTTTATCTTTAATTTTCTTTATTAAATGGAAACATTACTCATATTACATTCTAAAGATAAAAATATGTATTATATATATTACTGCATGCTAACGTTTCTTTAAAAATATTTATGATAAATAAACATATAATTGTTCGTAAAATATTATTGTCAATCTTCTATTCTGTGTAATTGAATTATTACTGTCTTCATTAAAAAGTCATTACTATTATAATGATTATAAAGTTGTATAAAATGCTTGTGAAATTGTACAAATTAGAATAACAGACATTTTTGGACATTATCACATCTTTGACATGGGCGACATGGCAATTACTATAAACATTTCATGATTGGTAAGTATTAAACCTTATTTTGTAATTAATAGTACATATCCAATATATTACAAAAAAGAACAAAAATTAGTAATAATGTAATTTTTGTATTGAAATTTTCTTGTCGAAAATTAAAATAAATTATTAGCAAAAAAATTATGGTGTCGAATATATCTTATCCGTAGATTTATGTAGATAGACTGTGTACGACAACTAATGATAACATTGAAAAACAAAAATATATACATAGTTAAAAATATAAGAATGAGAATAAGAGAGAGAAAATAATGCGCATTTCATTTCTAGAAGAGAAGTGATTCCGTCTCCTTTTTTTTCTCCTTATCTGTGCACAATTAAATAAAACTGCATTTCTGCTGTTTCCTTTTATCAATGTTAATATTTTATTTTTTTTTAATGGAGTGCACAATCTATCTAGATTTGAATCTATGATTTTATCCTACCAGTCACACATAAATAAATTAATTTCCATAAAAATATAAAACAGATGTTTTAATTATATTGAATTTTAGGAAAATTATACTCAAATGTATATTTAATAAACACATAATTATATTTTATAATCCTTCATTGATAAATGCAAATTTCTAAAGGTAATCTTATTCATAAAATTGCACATTTAAATTTTGATTGAATGATTTTAAAAATAAAATATTACTTTTATTGTAATTTTCATTTTTCCATTTATTTCAAAAAAATTCTCTAAATACATTTGTTTACAATTACATTTGAAATATTTGATTAATATTTTATAGGGCTAAATTTATATTTTATTATTGTTATCGTTGTTTGATACAAGATAAGTGTTTTTACAAACTTTACAAAAATTACTTGATTCATAATTGAAATTTAATATAATAATTATATGTTGTATACGTTGAATGTGTATAATTATATTATATAATTATATTATATGTGTGTGTGTGTATGTGTGTGTGTATGTGTGTGTGTGTGCATGCGCGCGCGCATGTGTGTGTGTGTGTGTGTGTGTGTGTGTGTGTGTGTGTGTGTGTCTGTGTGTGTGTGTGTATTATAAAACCATTACAGTAATTTTTTTGAAATTTATTGAGACAAATGAAATATCGAATCGAATAATAAATTTATTTTTAAGAAAGAGCTATGAAGTTAATAGTTGTTTTAAATGTAATTTTTGCTCTTATGAAAAATTCTAATAAAAAAGAGAGATATGTTGCGCACTGTGATAATCAGTCATGGTCATCTCAATGTATGTTGTATTTCGTATCATAAGCAATTGCTATCAAGTTTTTATAGTTCGTATATTAATTCGTTGTAATAATTATATATATTATCACACGACTGCAATTCGTTCAGTTAATCAATAATGATATATAGTATAAAGTATTATTGAAAACTGACGTACTACTTATTATAATAAATGTTGAGTTATAATAAATGCAAGTGCTATACAAGAGCTTTTGAAGCACTCGCTATGTTTCAAATAGGTTTATATTGATAAATTTTCAGGCCTTTAAGATACTTGAACTATTTGTTAATTTATGAGAACAGATTATTATAAATAATGGATACATTTCGTATTATATCTAATTAGCGATTTGTAACAATGGAAAAAAAAGTCATTATGTAATATTAAAAAGTAATATTAAAATTTATTATACAAAATTATTATACATTTAAATTATTATACATAATATCGAAAAGAAAATGATATGTAAAATGATTTTATCTTATTTTATTTTTATTAAAAATAAGAATATAATTCTACTTAATTTATATTTGTTGAGCAACTTAGCACACAAATATATTTAATAATACGTTATTAATTAATATAGAACAATAAAAAACGCGAATTTCTAGCTATTATTTTATAAATCTCGATAATTTTCAAGAGATATATTTTGAGAAATTATATTTATAAAAACATTACTAGAAAGATCTAATGTATGATTTATGTATACTTGCATTAAACAGATAACTAGAATAGATAATTCACGAATATATACAAGGTTTGATAAGAAACAAGGTGTTTGATATGAAATTCTCGCATAGGGATAGAGCAAACTTGAGTGGAAAAGTCCTCTATCATTTTATAATTTTCGCAATAATTAACAACATGTCAATTTCTAAAAATCATATCAATCGAATATTTAATCATTTTTTATTCAAGTACTATCAACTTTACAGAAAAACAGCAAGAGAAAAATTATTTATTTTCTTCTCATAGAGCTCTAAGAATTTTTTCGTCAATTTTTTAATACCGCATTTCTTATGTATACGTATATTGGCAACTATTTTTATCAACATGAGAAAATATGATATTAAAAATTCTGAAAAAATTCTCGAGAAGAAGAATTCGAGGAAAAAATAAACAGTTTTTGTCACTTGCTGTTTTTTTATAAAGTTGTTAATATTCGAGTAAAAAATTATTCAAATCAATATTCGATGATTTTTAGTAATTAATATTTTGTTAATTATTGCGAAAATTGTAAAATGGCACAAAATTATTTGATTTAGTTTAGTCCACTTTATTCCTATGCGAGAGTTTCATCATTATTTATTAAATACCCTGTGTATACACACACACACACACACACACACACACACAGAGGATGTTATATATAAATATATATAATCTGAACTTGAATACATATTTTGCTTTGCTATTGTAATTTTGATAGTTTTGATAGTCTAGAAGAATAGTTGTAAAATTATTATATTCTATAATTAATAAAATATGAATATATTCATATTTTATTAATTCAATAATTAATTTTTTAATTGAATAAGTATTTTTTTGAAATAATATAAAGTTCTTTTTGATGTAAAAGAAATGTAACTGCGAACCATGAATAAAATGTATGCTTTCATTATTTTAAAAGAAGTTTGTTAAAACGGGCAGAAATTAATTTAATGCTAAAATGTTTTTACATAATCTAAAAACTCCAAATGATGATAATAATGTTGACATTGGTGATCATATAATATTGACATTGATGCCTATACTACAATACAATTATGCAGAACTATTATTTTCGCGTTAACTAATAAGCATTACAATTGGAGAAATTACGAAGAGCGTATTATGTGTATGAGCGTATCGTGTGTGTGTATATCATGCCATATATACAGATGATAAATATTCCAGTGGATGTCACTCTAATAAGAATATGTAACAATCGGATATTTTCATCGCAGGATTCGTGTTTACTGATACAGAGTTAAATTATCAACTTTATGTTCCTTATCATGCGTTTATGACTTTCACAAATTTAATATTTAATAATGTTTTGCATACGTGATGCTTGCAAGAAAGGTATTTGCGGAAGCATTGCTACATGCTCAGTGCTATTTCGTAAGAATTATAAAGCGCAATGTCAATTAGAATACATGTGTATATTCACCGGACTCACAATTAGTTGTATATGACGTTCAAACGATTACAATTAATTTGGATTCAGAGTAATTAAAAAGACAGATATATAAAATAAAACGGACGCCTTTTAAATTATCAATTTATGAATGATTACGCGTGAAACGTTTTAGTAAAGAAGACTTGAAGTATGCAAATTAAAAAAAATCTTTATGCACAAATGTCTTGAAAAGAAAGATATTAAGAAGATTAAACTGAAATGAAGAAAATATTTATAAATCATGAAACACAGGCAATATGGGTAAATCGACAAGACATAATGAAGAAAAGAAGTAGATATTAATTTAATATTAAAAAATTATGGAAGAAGATAGTCATTGCAAAAATGTTTTTGATTCGATTAAGAAATCAACTTTTATGAACGTCAATAAAATCTCCAATTTCTTTAGAAATATAAATAAAGAAAATTCTATTGCGGAAAAAACTAGTGAACAGAAAATGAACAAAATAAAATCAGAGTTACATCAAGATTTATTTTGGAAGTTCAAAATATTAATAATGTTCTTCAAGCTTATCGGTCTCGCTACATTCATCCATCGAATCGTCATATACAAAAAGAAAACGTACACATTTCAATATTGCAAATTAGGAATCGCTTACAATGTTGTGCTGAGTAGCTTAATGATAGCCTCAAACTATATGTCTATACCAGATTTAATTTGAACTATGAGAACAAGACGAATTTGACTATAGGCATCGAGATTCTGCAAACTGTATTTGATGCTCTGGTGATCTGCGCGATATTGATTAGTTACTGCATCAACTAGAAATCCTTGGTGCGGATCGCCAATCGATCATAATTAATAATTAATCATTATCGAGCACGAGATAGATTGTCTGTATAATCTATATCATCCACTACGACGACAGCGTATCTTCTGTATTATGATCATCGTTTGCATCTTGAAGATTTGCCTGCTGATACTTCTCCTGTTCACTGAAATCCTGGCCTTCCATACGGGTCTAGTCTCATGGCTGACAGACATTTTGCCAACATTTCACGTGGATTGGCTCTTGATACAATATTTCTTGTTGGTGACGATTATTCAGACAGATTTTGCTGATGTGAATCGAGCGATACAAAGCCTCATCAGAATCAATACACTTGATTTTCGACTGCAATCTTTCTACCAAATGCGTCGTATCGTAGTCAACAATTCGATCGTTCATCAACTGTTGCAATTGCAAGATGTGCATTGTCATCTTTGTGAAATCTCTGAAGATGTGTCGAGTTTCTATTCACTACCAGTACTATTCGGAATCGTTTTTCTCTTTCTGACACTCGTATATAATGGTTACTATCTTCTCTTGCCTCTGTTGATGATTGATATCTTAGAATATGAGACTCTTAGTAATACCATCGTCTGGATAATATTTCTGATTTATCCCATCTCTCTCCTCACCAATAGAATTACCAGGATTTTAATCGAGGTAGGATAATCGATAAAATAAGATCACATTTTAATCAGATTGTTTTAATCGATGAAACAAAATATTTTTATCAGTAAATAAAATCTCAAATATTTTATGAAATATTTCAATTACAAATTTATTGTAGATGAAGAAAACGGGTAATATAGTGCATAATCTTTTAAACTGTACAATCGGGAAAGAGACAAAAGCAGAGGTAAAAAACAAAGAGATAAACTTAGATAAAACTTATTTAGAAACGGTATTTATCATAACATTTATCATAAATATGTTACAGCTCAAATTTTCGCTTCAGTTGCTACATCGCAAAATACAGTTTACAGCTAACGGATATTTTACGCTCGATAATACTTTTCTTTATTCGGTGAGAATATTAAAAATATCATGTAAGTAATTTAATAAATTAAATTTTTTAAATTAATAATTTTGATTATCTCTCTCAGCTAATTGGCACAGTGATAACATATTTGGTAATACTTGTGCAATTTCAAATGGGAAGCTCGCGTTCATCAGACAGCAATGTAACTATACAAGGAAAAATTTAAAATAAGAAGCGGAATAATAAATTAAAGATAAGAGAGAATATAATGAGAAATATCTTATAAATATAATGAAAAATATTTTTTAAGATCTAAGACACAATTAAATGCAATTAAATATGCAGAATAGCAATTTTGAAACTTTTTGTTGTAATTTCTTTATAATACATACAATCAGTTCTGATTTGTAAAACTAGAAAACAAAAATGTAAATATATTTATTATATTTAAATTAATTTTATTAATTAATTAATATAATAATTAAATTGAATAAGTCTCGATGGAATTAATATTATAATATGCCAATATAAGAATTATCAATATCCAAGGAATATACAAATAAGTCAACAAAAAATCAAAATGTCTTTTTAGATGCTTAAAATTAATAAACAATCAAATTTTGTAAACAAAAATCATCATTTTGATTTTCTCTTGACTTGGTGTATTCCTTAGACACCATATTCGCGTATAATATCGATCGTTTTATTATTAACAATATATTGCCGTATAAATCGAAAGTACAACGTTTCGATCCGATTTTGGATTTCTTCTTAGTAAATGTGAAGTTGATAATAAAGAGAGGTCTATAGTGAAATTCAGAGTCAGTTCTTATACATATTTAAGATCTTAAGTACATTTTTAAGGTGTCATGAATTAATCAGAGGGTCATATTATTATTTTAAGACAGTTTTGAAATAAGAACTATGACTATCATCTTATGTATTAATCTCTGAATCTTGCAGTCCACTTCATCAGGACGAGGAACAGCCTGGTACGCAGGAGGAAACCCGCGAAACATATAATCTTTATATAGAAAGTATCCGTGGAAGTCTCAAGAATATTATCAAAAAAGCGATTTGTTTGAAAAATGTTTAAAAAGTTCGTGTTCAGCCATTATTCCTGTTCGTGCTGTTATAATGTAGGCAGCGCTGAGACCTTCAGGTCGCTTACAATGTAAATATGATTGGTGCTTAGACCTATTTAATTAGGTCACATTATATTAGGTCAGGTCGCGTATAGATCTCTCGATGTAAATATTGTCAGTATAACTAAAAAATTTCCTTCTGCAAATTTCCTTTGCAATGACAGTTGAATGCTTAATCAGTGACAGTCATCTTACATGATTAATAATTCAATATGTTGCTGATGTGTATCTTGAGTGATGTTAGGTCTGTGGCTGAATTAGTGTATACTTTTGGAATTTAAAGTGAGACGGTATGTGTTTGATATTATTGAAATCAAGAAAGAAAATTTTAATGCAATCTAGTACAGGAACAGAAAACAGATCATTTATCTAGTCAGAGGACAATGTATTATTCATTCAATTGACTACATAGGAGAAAATTTTTGACTATATATTGATATACATACATATTCAATTTTACTTTCCACATACCGATGTGTATATCATAAAATTTAATTAGCTCGGAAATCTATACATAGACTTTTTGCTATTGTTAACTTCATATTTACTGGAGAGAGTGGGGAGAGGGAGAAAATATAAAATAAAATCAAAATGTTTATATATTTTCGGTTTATATTGTGTTATATTGTGTTATACTGTTTATAACAAAATAATATTATACACGAATAATGTTGACTTTTATAATATTAATTAATTTATTCTATATATATTACATTTATTATTTGTTTTGTCGATTATTTTAATAAAATTTAAACGCAAAATATTATTAGTTCGAAATAATTTTAATTAGTTAAATGTACATCATTTTGTTTGACAACTTTTTACCATCTCTCTTTTATAGATCTTATATCGATATTCTATTCTATTTTCAAACTATACAATTGCTATTACCTACAATTGCTATTAACTATGGTCCTAATGTATCACCAGGATTGGGAAATTAATTTCATGTAACAAAGTTACAGTTAGATCTACTTTTTTTCAATAACTGTAATTTTATTCCTTTCTTACCATATTTATATGTATATAATTTCTATACATACATAACTATTGCTTAACTTATTTACATATTATTTTTGGTATCTAATTTGAAGTAGTTGTTTTTATAGTTATTTTATATATTTTAAATTTATTTGTCAATATATGGGCTTCGGCTGACTAAAATGAAGTGCTTATAGTGATTAATCAGTGATTATTTCTCGTAATTGAAATCTTTTTATCCTTGATCTTTTTTATCCTTAATGATTATCACATTCTGTAAACGTTTGTATTAAAAGAGCTAAAAAACTTTTAATACGTAAACTCATCATATTGGTTCCACACAGACAGAATTGTCTCTTAAAATTTACTCTGAAAATATGGTAGTTGTGGTATAATACAACATTTTTAAGATTTTTATCGTGCACACTTCAGTAAAATTGATCAAATTTATTACATATTTTACTGCAGTTTTATTAATGAATGAAAGAAATTTACATAAAATTCTTCAAAATGTTGTCCCAGGACTATCATATTTTTTAGATAAACTCTAAAAAAAAAATTCTCTCTATGCATGATTTTCATTCCAAGTATATATATTAATTTATTGCAAATAATAGCAATATAATCGAATGTTAGTATAATAAGTAAAATAATTTAGTAATGCTAGAAACGTGTATGTAACATTTTTTTCTATAAAATAACAATACTTTTTGTAAAAAATTAACAGAAAAATAACTCGTTACTTTTTATTTAATTATAATTATTTTGCAAAGTAACTTTTTCAATCTTGTACATCATATTAATTCAAACGACGCCTATTGCTATGGATGGTGGAATAAAATTTTAGTACAACTTTCTGTATAACGTAAAGTTCTTAAATGATTCATTTTTCAATAATCTTCCTTATATCCTTTTCCTAAAGAAAGCGAGTAAAATATAAAATATTGAATTGCATTTATTGATTTATTATGATTCCATAAATTATCTAAT